CCGCCAGTCCACCTCAGTCCCGGGCTTCGCACTGCGGCGGGACATTCAGCCCTGGACAACGCCAGCGGCACAACTGCCAAACGAGACAGCAACTCTGGGTTTTGTACAAAATAAACTCTCATTCGGGTGGCTTCCATAGTTACGCCCTTCTTATTATGTAACTATTTGGGAATTCCAAAGGGCGTAATTAGACGGGGACACCACATAGTTTGTCATCTTTACAACAGTGTCAGTCTCAGGGAAGCCCGGAATTGGAACAAAAGTTGTTCATGTAGGGCTGGTGAATATGGGGTTGAATGTCCAAATCACTAAAAGAGTAGGAAGTTCGGAAGTCGTCAAAGAGTCCAATGTTTAAGAGAAAGAAAGTCTGGTGGTGTTGCTCTCAGGGAAGAAAATATCCCAGACATCTGATGACATATGTATATAAACAATTGACTGAAAACACTGAAAATAATACAGTGCTGACCACTATTTCAAGAACGATCCCCAAACTCGTCGTAATCGAACTCGCGGAATAAGCAGGAAGAAATGTGACGGAAGGGAATTCCTCTTAATATACACAAAATGGTAGTTTTATGATTGCACTGGATAGATCCATTTAAATTCGATAGTTACCAACCGGCATGTCAACATGTGATCTTATGAAATATCTTATTCCTGTGACGTCCTAACCGGCGCATTCAAGCGAAAATCTGGTTGCCTTAGTCCAACGTATCTCAAAACACTTACAAAGCAAAGAAAAAATTGGAAATCCTCGTTTTATTACATATCTGAACTTCGGCCCTTTCTCTATGAGCCGGACTTTCCAGTGCGTGTAATATGAAAGCATATCCAGCGGAAAATTTCACAAAATTATTATTTTCAAAAGTAATTTTACTTGTGCTGCTTTATTCACCCGTTTTTTTATATGAGAAGACTTTATCTACATTAAAAATTTAGGTCTACTCATTAACCCCCATTTTTTCACTTTTTTTTCGGAATTTTCCGCTTCTCTAAAATAACTGTACTTTCTAAACAACGTAATAGTACTTCATAAACCCCAATATATCTTCTCTCTTATTACCCTGTTCATTTTACTGCTGTAAGACTTTGAGGGACGCGGCCTGGGATTCCTTTGCGAGCCAGGGATTTTCTAGTAGGAATCCTTGGTTTTCATGAGTTAGGGCAGCTACTGTAGTTGGTAAAAAAGGCCTGGTTCGATGGGGACCAAAAAATCACAACTAAAGAGAAGGCGCGATCGAACTTACTTGAAAAATTTGTCCACCATTTTATGCATGATTTTACGGGGGCCGTTACCCGAAATCAGATTAAGCTCCTCCGATTCATGATCGAATGCGTAAAGAGCTCGATACTGGCAACGTGAGTCGCGGAAAAGCACGATGAAGTGGGACCCGTCCACCGCCGCGAGTTCCTACGAAGCAATGAGAGAGAAAAGAACGGTTTAGGAGCGTGCAACTAGGTGAAAAAAAACAACAGCGTAAAACTACCAATACCCAGATTTGTGTAGGATGGAGAGAGACAGAAAGGGTGTTGTCAAACCTCATCCATGAGCGAGATAGAATCCTTATTAATCATGCGATTCCAGGCGTGCCCTCCCATCATCTCAAACTTCAACAAAAAGAAGCGTACAGTGAAACCTCAATTAACGAGTTTAATCCG